CATATATGTATTTTATATACTTTTTTTTTTTTGAGATGGAATTTTGCTCTTGTCACCCAGGCTGGAGTGCAATGGCATGATCTCGGCTCACTACAACCTCCACCTCCCAGGTTCAAACAATTCTCCTGCCTCAGTCTCCTGAGTAGCTGGGATTACAGGTGTCTGCCACCATGCCCAGCTAATTTTTGTATTTTTAGTAGAGAAGGGGTTTCACCATGTTGACCAGGATGGTCTCGATCTCTTGACCTCGTGATCCACCCGCCTCGGCCTCCCAAAGTGCTGGGATTACAGGCGTGAGCCACCGCGCCCGGCCTCAATCTCTTGACCTTGTGATCACCTGTATTGGCCTCCCAAGTGCTGGGATTAAAGGCATGAGCCACCATACCGGGCCCTCTTTTCTTTGTTGATGTGGTCTCACTCCTGTCACGCAAGCTGAGAGCAGGTGTGATCTTGGCTCACTGCAGCCTCGAACTCCCAGGCTCAAGTGATCCTCTCACCTCGGCCTCCCCAGTAGCTGGGATTATAGGCGTCACCATGCCCAGCTAATTTTTGTATTTTTAGTAAAGAAGGGACTTCACCATGTTGGCCAGGATGGTCTCAATCTCTTGACCTCGTGATCCACCTGCCTTGGCCTCCCAAAGTGCTGGTATTATAGGTGTAAGCCATTGCACCCAGCCAATTTCTGTATTTTTAGTAAAGATGGGGTTTTGTATTTTTAGTAGAGAAGGGATTTCACCATATTGGCCAGGCTGGTCTCGAACTCCTGACCCCAAGTGATCCACCTACTTCAGCCTCCCAAAGTTCTAGGATTACAGGCATGGGCCACTGCACCCAGCCTCTGCTTTTTAAACTCAATGATATTTATGAATATTATACCATATTGATGCAATAGAGGTAGATTTACTTTCTTCTTTTTCTTTTTTTTTTTGGGATGGAGTCTCCCTCTGTCACCCAGGCTGGAGTGCAGTGGTGTGATCTCACTGCAACCTCCGCCTCCTGGGTTTAAGCAGTTCTCCACCTCAGCCTCCCAAGTAGCTGGGATTACAGGCATGCACCACCATGCCCGGCTAATTTTTTATATTTTTTGTAGAGACGGGGTTTCACTATCTTGGCCAGGCTAGTCTTGAACTCCTGACCTCATGATCCACCTGCCTTGGCCTTCCAAAGTGCTGGAATTATAGGCTTGAGCCACCCCACCCAGCCTGATTTACTTTATTCTTTTCAATAAGTTACATAGGCCAGGTGCCATGGCTCACATCTACCTGAGATGGGAGGATCGCTTGAGCCCAGGAGTTTAAGATCAGCCTGGGCAACAGGTTGAGACCCCATGTCTACAAAAAATTTAGAAATTACTTGGGCATGATGGCACATGCCTGTAGTCCCAGCTACTTGGGTGGCTGAGATGGTAGGTTCACCTGCACCCAAGAGGTCAAGGCTAAAGTGAGCAAGCTGTGTCACTGGACTCCAGCCTGGCCAGAGAGTGAGACTCTGTCTCAAAAAAAAAAAAGTTACATAGCATTCCAATATAAGGAATTCAGTTCAATTCAAAAATATTTACTGGCCGAGCGATGGTTGACACCTGTAAATCCAGCACTTTAGGAGGCTGAGGCGGGAATGTTGCTTGAGTGCAGGAATTCAGGATAAGCTTGGATAACATAGGGAGACCCCATCCCTATAAGTAATTTTAAAAATAGCCACATGTGATGGGGGTCCCAATTATTGGAGAGGCTGAGATAGGAAGATCACCTAGCCAGGGAGGTCAAGGCTGCAGTGAGCCATGATTATGCCACTGCCTGCCAGCCTGGGTGACAGAGTAAGAACCTGTCTTAATAAATAAATAAATAAATAAAGTACTGAGTAGCCTGCATTTTCCAAACAGTCTTCCATTAGTTGAACTGTATCAGTGAACAAAATAGACAAAAATTCCTACCTTCTATTGCCTTTCCTCTATGAACCGTATTTCAGGGTAACCAAAATCCTACTGGTGAGAGAAAGTTCTTTTTTTTTTTTTTTTGAGGGAGTCTCACTCTATCACCGAGGCTGGATTGTGGTGGTACAAGCTTGGCTCACAGCAAACTCCAACCCCTGGGTTCAGGCGATTCTCCTGCCTCAGCCTGCCTCAGCCTCCTGAGTAGCTGGGACTACAGGCATGCGCCACCATATCCAGCTAATTTTTATATTTTTGTATTTTTTTTTTTTTTAGAGATGGGGTTTTACCATGTTGGCCAGGCTGGTCTCAAACTCTTGACCTCAGGTGATCTGCCCACCTTGGCCTTCTAAAATGGTGAGATTATAGGCATGAGCCACCGCGCCCAGCCTAATTTTTGTATTTTTAGTAGAGATGGGGTTTCACTATGTTGGCCATGCTGGTCTTGAACTCCTGACCTCGTGATCTGCCCACGTTGGCCTCCCAAAATGCTGGGATTACAGGTGTGAGCCACCGCGCCCGTCTGAAAGTTCTTTACAAGAGACTTACTGCTAGTAAATATGGAAAGAAGTATAGAATCAGAAAATCAGCATTTTGGTAAAATAACGGATCTAGTCAATAGTCATCAATGGATACAAGCATTAGATGAAACGCTCATAGGAAACTTGACCATAGAGGGATCAGACTGAGGTCACCTCAACCACTGATGAGTCTGTTATTAAAAGCAGGACAGATAACCTGACGTCATAGGCTATAAGCCTCCAGAAGTGATGCAGTGTGACGCTCGCAGCACCACCCAGACTTAAGCATTTTCATTCTTTGTTTTAGAGACAAGGGCAGGGCGAGGTAGCATGTGCCTGTAGTCCCAACTACTCAGGAGGCTGAGGCAGGGGGATTGCTTGAATCCAAGAGTTCTGGGCTATAGTGCACTATGTCGATCGGGTGTCTGCACTAAATTTGGCATCAACATCATGACCTCAAGAGAGTGGGGGACCACCAGGTTGCCTAAGGAGTGGTGAACCGTCTCAGGATGGAAATGGAACAGGTCAAAACTCCTGTGCTCATCTGTAGTGGATTCATGCCCGTGAAGAGCCACTACACACTAGCCTGGGCAATATAGTGATACCTTGTCTCTTTAAAAAGAAATTTAAATAGGCTGGCTCATGCCCGTAATCTCAAAAAACCAAACCAAAACAACCAAACAAAAAACAGACAATACCTCTATCCTCATGAAGTTTACCTTTTGGTTTACCTTCTGGGCTAGTCAATAAAACAAAATATGTAAGTACAAAATACACTGTGAGGCCAGGTGCAGTGGCTCACGCCTGTAATCTCAGCACTTTGGGAGGTGGAGGCAGGAGAATCACTTGAGGTCAGGAGTTTGAGTCCAGCCTGGCCAAGATGATGAAACCCTGTAGCCACTAAAAATACAAAGATTAGGCAGGTGTGGTGGCATGCGCCTGTAATCCCAGCTACTAGGTAGGCTGAGGCAGGAGAATTGCCTGAACCTGGGAGGTAGAGGTTGCTGTGAGCCGAGATCGTGCCATTGTATTCTAGCCTGGGCGACAAGAACAAGACTCTGTCTCAAAAAAA